GAAGGCCTCGGCCGAACTCTCATGGCTTCCGACGCCGCTTCCACGCGATGAGCCGAGACAGGGCGCATCGAAGGGGGGGTGTCTGGAACTGCCACCCCGCCCCCGTCCTTGTTCAAGGGGTAGAGTGGGTTCGGCCCCCCCCCCTGGGCCTGCGCCCCTTCCCCCTCCCCGGTCGGCGCTGGTGGCGGCTAGCGGGGGCGGCGGCAATTTCGACGAGGACGACGATTCAAAGGGGGGCGGGGGGGTTCGAACCCCACCCCCCCCTCCAGGCCGGGCGCCAGCTGGCGGCGGCACTGGCGTTGGAGACGACGACGGCGACGACGACGACAACGACGGCGACGCCGACGACGGCGACGAAGACGGCGGCGACGACGACGATGACAACGACGGCGACGTCGGCGACGGCGACGAAGGCGGTGACGACGGCGGCGACGGCGACGACAAGCGCTACGACCACGACGGCGACGACGACGACTAAAACGAAGACGACGACGACTACGACGACGACGACGACGACGACGACGACGACGACGGCGACGGCGACGGCGACGACGGCGACGGCGACGGCGGCGTCGACAACGACGACAGCGACGACGACGACGACCACGACGGCGACGTCGACGACGGCGACGACGACGGCGACTGCGACGAGGACGGCGACCACGAGCACGACGATGACGACGACAACGACGACAACGACGACGGCGACGACGACGACGACGTCGGCGACGCAAACGGCGGCGACGTCGGCGACGTAACCGACGCCGGTGACGGTGACGACGGCGACGGCGACGACGATGACGACGACAACGACGACGGCGACGGCGACGATGATCACGACGGCGACGACGGCGACGATGATCACGACGGCGACGACGGCGACGATGACGACGATGGCGACGACGGCGGCGGCGGCGCCGATGAGGACGACGACGACGGCGACGACGACTACGGCCACGACGATGACGACGACGACGACGAAAGCGAAGACGACGACGACGACGACAACGGTGCCGACGACGACGACGACGACGGCGACGACGACGAAGGCGACGACGACGACGGCGACGATGGGGACGACGGCCACGGCGGCGATGACGACGGTGACGAGCACGACGGCGACGACTACGAGGACGACGGCGACGACGATGCTAACGACGACGACGACGACGACGGCGACGACGAACACGACGACGACGACGACGGCTACGACGACGAAGACGACGGTGACGACGACGACGACAACGATGACGAGCACGACGAATACGACGACGTCCGTTACGACGACGACGCCGACGACGACGCCGGTGACGACGACGACAATCAGCACGACGACCACGACGGCGACGACGACGAAAGCGAACACGACGACGAAGATGACGACGACGCCAACGACGACGCCGGCGACGACGACAACCAGCACGATGACCACGACGGCGACGACGACGAAAGCGAAGACGACGATGAAGATGACGACGGCGACGACGACGTCGACGACGGCGGCGACAAAGACGACGGCGACGACGACGACGACGGCGACGACGACGACGACGACTGCGACGACAACAACGACGACGACGACCATGACGGTGGCGGCCACGACGACGACGACGGCGACGACGACGACGACGACGGCGACGACGACGACGAACACGAGGACGGCGACGGCGACATCGACGACGACGGCGACGACGACGACGACGACGGCGACTACGACGACGACTACGACGACGACGGCGACGGCGCCGACGACGACGACGGCGACGACGACGACGGTGGCGACGACGGCGACGACGGCAACGACGACGATGGCGATGACGACGACGGCGACAACGAGGAAAGCTACAACGACCACGACGTCGACGAGGATGATGACGACGATGACGACGACGACGACGACGACAGCGACGACGACCACGACGACGACGGCGATGGCGACGGCGACGGCAGCGGCGACGACGACGACGACGACAACGACGTCCACGGCGACCACGGCGACTACGACGACGTCGACGACTACGGCGACGACGACGACGACGTCGACGGCGACGGCGACGGCGACGGCGATGTCGACGACGGCGACGACAGCCACGACGGCCACGACGATAGCGACGGCGACGACGGCGACGAAGTTGGCAACTGCGACGGAGTCGACGGCGACCAGTTACCGGCGCCTGGCGGCGACGACGACGACGACGACAACGACGACGACGGAGGCTCGCGGGGTGGGGGAAGGGTTCGAACAGAGGGACGACGACGCACGACGACCACGACGACAAAACCGACGCCGCCGCCGACGCCGACGCCGACGGTGACGCTGCCCCCGCCGACGACGCCGATGCCGACGACAACGCCGACGACCACGACGCCGCCGACCACCACGGTGACGACGACGAAGACGACGAAGACGACGACAACGCCTACGAGGACGCCGACGACGACGATCGAGGCTTGGTGGGATGCGATATGTAAATCTGTATCGAGTCGTTGAAACGGAGCAGGTTATTGTTAGCGTTGGACCGACCCATGTTAGGATTCGACTGGCGCTGGACCCACTTCTACACGAATCCCAGTAGAGTTAGATCCATCTTCAGCGGGATTTTACTAGAGCTGGATAGGCGATAAGCCCCTGGCGACATCCCATTTAGCTGAGTCAAAACATTGTACGGTTCGATGTGAGCAGGACCGAGCCGTAGTATGTCTCCATAGAGGTGGATCCAAACCTAATAGGATCGCGTCGATGCTGGATTGAGCCTTAGTGGGACTCCAGATGAAATCCATAAGAGCTCCATCCAAACCTAGTAGGATCCTATCTTAAGGTGGGCCGAGCCGTTGCAGGATTCGATGTGATCTTGATCGAACCCAAATTGAATTGTATGAAAGCTGAATCCCGCCCAAACAACACGATTCCACCGTAGATGGATCGAGCCGAGGTGGTTTTTGAGAGAGGAAAGATCGCGTTTCGTGGTCGCTTGAAGGGGTGGAGTTTGAAACCGGACCCGACACACCCCCCTCGAGATGCAAAGGGGTGGGGGGTTCGACACCCCCCGCGGCGGCGGCTGGGAGCGTCGACGAGGACGACGGCGACGACGACGACGATGACGACGACGACGACGCCGACGACGCTCCTCCACCGTGTATTGGCCTTGAGTCCTGCTGGATGCCTCTCGGGGTCTCGTCGACGGGCTCTCGGGGGTCTCTGAAGGGCATTTGTGAAGCCTCCTGGGCGCCTCTTGGGCGTCTCTTGGGGCCTGTCTGAGGTGGTGGTGGTGGTGGTGGTTAGCTGTAGTGGTGGTGGTCGTGGTGGTGTGGTGGTTGGTGTTGGTGGTGGCGGTGGTTGTTGTGGTGGTTGTGGCAGCAGGTTGTGGTGGTGGTGGTGGTGGTGGTGGTGGTGGTGGTGGTGGTGGTGGTGGTGGTGGGGGTTGCGATGGTGGTGCGGTGGTTTCTACAAGGGATGGGGTGGTGGTGGTGGTGGTGGTGGTGGTGGTGGTGGTGGTGGTGGTGGTTGTGGTGGTGCGGTGGTGGTGCTGTGGTGGTGTGGTGGTTGTGGGATTGGTTTGGTGAGATTTTAAAGGGATCCAGTTTGGGAGATTGCAAGCAGCACGCGGGCACGGGTGCGCAAGGCACGCCTGCGCTGGTGCCAACGATGTTCTGTGGTGGCCGTGATGAGGTAAGATGGACGGCGTGGCATCCTCTCTGAGGCACGCCGGGGATCGACACAATCCTGGGCCAAACGCCTCCCCTCCCCACAGAAGGAGGAAGAGGAGGAGGAGGAAGAGGAGGAAGGAAGGGAACACGAGCCAGGAGGAGGAGGAAGGGAAGGAGGAGGAGGAAGGGAAGGAGGTGGAAGAGGACGTCGTTACAGCCAAGACGCTGAAATAAGTAACAGTTTGGAGTCGGAAGGGGCTCAATGTTCCTTACGTCCTTCCGCGGTTGTTCCTCTAGCCCTTCTCGTGCACCCAGGCTTTTTTGAAGCCGCAGAGGGGCTTCGTTCCTTATTTTGCGTTCCTTCTTTCAGCAGCCCGACTGTATTTCTAGCAGCTACGCTCGAGGAGGTCCTTCCTCTTCCACATCCCCTCGGAGTGCCCACGGACCCAGAGTAAAGAATACCAAACGGGTTAAGTTGAGTAGGGCCGAGGGTCAGAGAGCGCCTTCCTCTGCAGGACCACAAAAAACGTCAGGGTGGTCAAACGACTCGCTGGCTAAGCAGACGAAGATGTGTAACGTCCAACCATTCGCTTGCGTCCAAGGTTTTGGCTTGACGCTGGGTGTGGTGTATCAATTTCGGCTTGACCGAACAAGTTGGTTGCGCCCCTTCACGTTCATTTGGGGTGCTCTGCAGACCTGAACCCCCCAGCCCTACTCAAGGGGAGATTGAATTCCAGCTCTTAATCAGCTCCGCTAGCGTACATCTTGTGGCCTGATTTTTCACAGATACATTCCGTAAAACAAAAAACATATTTTGACCCGAAGACCAGATGTGAACCCTTACAATTGTGTCCGCCCTTATAACGAAGGATCTTCGCGAGAGGAGTTCTCATTTGACATGTGCGCGGTGTGCGACCGTCGAGTCTATAGAACCCAGCAGTTGTGTGAACGGAGGGCGGTCCCGAGCTGCGCTTGAGGCTCTCAGGCGACGTATATCCCGAGGGTTTGAACAACCACCGGTGTAAGAAAAGGACGCGGGCTCGTGTTCAAAGTTGCCTTCTCGCTGTGTGACCTCTTTCGACGTACTGCTGTCAATTTAAAAATACCTCGTAGGTGCACTGTGCGGGTCAATGTCAGAAATTCGTTTTCGTTCCGGTTGCAGCGTCAGTGGTGCGCGTGGGATTTCCATTTCCACGCGCACCTCCCAGAATGGCCTGGCCAACATCGTCATGTTCATCCGCTCTGTTCGTCTTCCTTCCTTTCGAAATCAACGTCGTCCTCCACGTGGTCCACCCCATCGCATCATCCTCCACGCCCTCCCCCTTAGTGCGCTCGCCACCTGTTGTTGATAGGTCCCTGACCAACGAGGAGAGGTCCAAGGCCCGCTGCGAAGGGTGGGGCTCTGACGAGTTACCCTTAGCGATTCGATCGTGCTGCGCACCATTAATATTGTTATTCCATTGAATGGCCTATGTTGATGTATGTGTTTGCTCTTTGTTCCTGTGGGTTCGTGTGGCTGCTTGTGTGTAGATTAGTTGGTTGTCTGCGTGGATGTGCGGTGTTGTGGCGTGCTGATTGTGTGTGTTGTACCATGTGTACGTGTGCGTTTGCATTTGTGTATGTGTGTGTGGATTGCGGAGGTCTTATGGTCGGTGCCGCCGATTCTGAAGGCGGGACCTCCCCCGGGACCCCAGCTGGTGAACCCCTTTGGGACCCGCCGGGACCCTGGGGGGGGCGGTATTCTAACCCAGGACAGCTCTTCCCCTACACTACAGGCGAGACCTCCTTTGAGACCCTCGGTGGCGACCCCCTCCGTTGGGATCCTGGACCGGGGGGCGGTTCTCTGACTTGGGAGCATCCCCCCCGCCACAGGCGGGATCTCTCCCGGGACCCCCGCTGGCGCCCCCCCCCGGACCCGCCAGGACCCAAGGGTGGGGGCGGTGTTCAGACCTGGGACCTGGGGCCACCACCCCCCACCTCATGCGGGACACCCCCCCTGGGACCCCCGTGTGTGGATTTCTGTTTGTGTTGGTGCCTCTGCTTGGGCTTGCGATTGAGCCTGCGCCTCTTCCTCAGTTTGCTTGCGTGCTCGCTTGCTTCCGCGCTGTGTGCAGGCAGCGTCGCGCTCGCTGGGCTTTACACATGGCATCGGCAATCTGCAGGAGGGAGCCCCAGATGTTCGCAAACACGCTTAACCGCGCCTCCTCGGACTTGGACGAGGGACTTGCGCCCGCGCGCATACACATGTCGGAATCGGCACGGCACACGCTTCCCCGGCTGTTTTGTCATATTGTTTTTATTCCGTTCGAGGGCAGGGGGTGTGGGGAGGGAGGGGTGGGGCAGACCCGCGCGGCAAGCTGGGAGGCCCTTCGCCGCACGGATGAGGAACGAGGACGGACGGGGGAGACAATGCGCCTAAATTGGCGGTAAAACAGAGGGGGGGACGGGGAGGAGGAGGAGGAAGAGGGAGAGGAGGAGAAAAAGGAGGGGGGTCAGGCGGAGAAACAAGAGGAAGGGGGGGAGGAGGTGGACAAGGAGCAGGAGGAGGAGTGGAACGGGGAGTGGTGCAGGACATCCAAGAATAGGGATGGCACTTAATATCTATTTCGATCTTGTGTCATCCCCCCTCTTGCCTGGTCCTCTCTGGTCTTGTCTGGCGGGGCCTTGTTTGGTCTGGTCTGGTCGGGTCTTGTGTGGCACGGTCTGGTCTTGCCAGGTGTAGGAGCATGCTGAAAAAAGAGGATGGGGGGACGAGCGGAAGGAGCAGATTGGAGCTACGGCATGAAGAGCATAGTAAGTGTGCCGCCCTTCTTGAGGGCATATCAGAACTCTTTGGGGGCCTCTCGGGGCCTTTGTTTGAGGCTCGTAGGTTGCGCAGTATTTTTGTTATTGTGGGTGTGGGGGCTCATTTGGGCCTCCTCCTGGAATGTATCCAAGGCCTCGAAGACTGTCTTGCACATGTCTTGTCTGCCTCGTACTGGCCTCTGGAGCGCGTCTAGGGGGCTCGTGTGTTGTCTTGGTGCGCGACGTGCTTCCCCCTCTGGGATAAGTATTGGCGGCCAGATGGGCCCAGACCAATATGTTTCCTGTAGAAGCTTACAAGCAAACAATGTTATTGCTGGGCCCCCTCGATCCGCATTTGCACTCTCGTCTCGGTGCCAGCTGTATTGTCTTTGAGATCGATGCTCATGCTCGAGCCCTTCTGGCTTGCGCCTAAACTGGCCCCCAACAGCGCTCCCGCTCGATACTTCGGTGGGTTTATTCAGGACTGGCGCTTTCGCCCTGGCGCATTTTCTCTGGGGTCTCTCGTCCTTGAACAAGTCGTTCTTTGAGTTGGTTCTGAGGTGCCTCCAGGAGCTCCGAGGCCTCTCCCAGACGCTCGGCGTCTTCTCCCAAGGGCCCTGCGGCTTCCCCCTGTCTCTCCCAGACGTCCTGAGGCTTCTCCCGAGAGCTCTGAGGCCTCACAGAGAGGCCCTGAGGCCTCCCCCGAGACGCTTTTGGGGCGTCTCCCAGAGGTCATGCGGCATGCCTCTCCAGTATGGTGGTGTGTCGAATCGGAGCAGGGACGGCGACTGTGCTGGCGATGTGTCGACTGAGATGAATATGGTAAACTGCTTTGGAAGAGTTGCTGGCATGATTTCCCAGGGCGGGAGATCTGGGCAAGGGATTATCGGGCTCCATATGCATCACATAGCCCCCCATGAAGCGGGGTGCTATCATGAATCGTGAATGATGCAGCTAGAAGTATTGAGCATCATGATAAAGTAAACAGTGCAGTCATACAATCCTCACTTCTGCTTCGTGGTTGGTACAGATATCTTGGCGTTGATACTCTGCCTTTTCTTGTCTCAGGGGAATGCCTGAGCGCAAAACTGCGCACCTGGGCCGCCGGCTACAGCAACAGCAACGATTTCAGCCTGAGATTTCCGAGCAAGTCTATGATGAATCCCGCTCTCGCCTGGGATTCTCTCACAAACTGATCAGGAATCGCGCTCATTTGGATATGGCATCATGTGGATATCTCGGGGAGCCTGTGTGGGCCAGAGGTCCACAGGATGCATCCTTGAGTCTCTTGAGATATCTTTCGGGGGCTTCTTAACTGCTTATTGGGGCGTCTTTAGACCTCTTGCCGGCTCGCTTGAGAACTCTTGAGGACTTTTGGGGCTTTCGTCGGGCGCCTGTCTTCTTCTTGGTGCCAGCTCATCCTAATCTGGCCAAAATGTCGCTCAATCCGACCGAATCCTGCCACATAGCAGGCAAAGTCTGGTTGATTGTATCTGGCTTGCTCTGTCGAGGCCGCCGCATGAGTTTTCCCCGGAGTTGAAGCGTGGTAGATTCTCTTCTCTCTTTCTCCACTGCGCGTGAGGGGTGCAAGCCGTGCGGGACCCGAGGTGCGCGACGCCTTCCTCAGGATAGACGCGAATAACCAAGGCGGCTTCGCTCTCGGGGGCGGTGGCGGCCGAAGGAGGGGACCTTCGGGGAGACTCCGAAGGCATGGACATGTCAGGGGCAACATTTGGGGGGGAAAGGCTCAGGGGGATGCATCGGCCCCTCACTGATCGCGGATAGGGGCTCGAGAGCCCACCCCGTCCAGGAACGGGCGGGTTTGCTATCGGGTGCCTATCGGCGATGCATGGCCAATTCCAGATGGATGTTCCCACCCCCCCCCCCCTTGGCCGGCTCCCCCCAGTCGCTCCCTTCAACATGGAAATGATCGTCCGCCCCCCTCTTCCCTCCCTTTCCTCCTCGTTCCCGTCTTTCTCATGATAGCGCTGTGCGAGTTTGCTGCATAAGCAAATGTTCCGCGCGCGGGCTTGCCTATTGCAGATTTCGGTTTTCGCGTGGCTCCTAGTTTGCTTGGTGCATCTCGTAGGTACCATCGTTCGCAGGGGAGCGCGATAAAAATCAGAGGGGTGTGGGAGGGGGGAAGAACCTAACAGGGTAAGACGGCTACGGATGTGGATAATGATTATTTCATGTCGTCTCCAGCCGATCCGTTGGCCAGCGTCGCATGTTCCCTCGTCGTCTGGTCTCGTCTGATCGCGCGTGGTGGAACCTAGTGTGATCGGTGCTGTGTCAATTTGTTTCAGAAGGGTCTTGCGCCGCACGACCTCTTACCCCATTCTGCCACTGGAGTCTATATGCGCATTCGGCTGGTTGGTATCATCTGGTATGCTTTGTTGATGGTATGGTATTGAACTGTGAGGTGCGATATGGTTTTCCCTGGCCGCGTACAGACAAGAGGAGCAAGAGACAGGAACGAGAGGAACAGCCGCGCTATGAACAACTTGATCGTGCACACCTCTTGAGGGATCCTTTGGGTCTCTGGGAGCCTCTCGGGCGTTTTAGGCAGCTCTCGCGTACCTTTTCGAGCTCTTCTCGGTCGTCTGCCTTCACTGCAGTCTGGAGGTTTCTTTCGGCATGCGGAGCATTATAGTGGACGTCAAGAGGCCCCAAGAGGTGGGTGGCCCTGGATCCGAAGAGCACACTGGAAGTGCCCAAAGGGTGTCAAGACCCCCAAACCTCAAATCCGGGGCGCTGCCCATCAGCGGATTCTCATCCGTGGCTCGTGCTTCGCTCTGCTGCTGGCCAGGGGCGACTACTCTGCCAGACTGCCAGTCATTCTGCATCGTAAGATCTACCCCCATCGTCACTGGAAATACTTCGGCACCGCTGTACGATCTACCCCCCACCCCCAGGTGGGGGTAGATGCCGTCTTCGTCGGGATTCGCGGCATCCATCCCCAGTTCGAGGATGTATGTAGCCTGGTGGCGCTAGGGAACTCTGGATCACCACTGAGGATGGGGACGGGTCTGACGATGCAGAGCCACTTCCTATCAGGCGACGAAGGAGAAGTCTGCTGGCGTCAGGCCAATGATAGGAACGAGTGGAGAGAGGAGGTCTCCGAGACTACCCTAGGCCGCCGGCCGCGCAGAGGGCTGGCGGGATCGTGCTTGATCGTTGGTCGAGGCGTTTCGTCTTAGTCTTAGGATGCGAACGAATCGGAAGATCGGCGAAGTGGGAAAAGCTCAGCCGTAAACGCACGAACGGTTTGAGACTATAGTATAGGGGAGGGGATCAGGATTGAGGCTGGTAAGGGAGGACAGGGGGAGGGGAGTTGGCGTAGAAGGGTGGCGGAGGGTGGAAGGGGGCGAAGGAGAAGGGGATGGACAGGTGGAGGGGGGAGGGGACGGGGCTTCCCCTCCACTCGCCGCGTTCGTCTTTTTCTGCTTCCTATTTGTCTTCTATTAGTTATATGTTTCTTCTTCGTCTACTTCCTCGTCCTCCTGCTCATCATCCATTGTCCTGTCACCTCCTGCTCCTCTTTTTGTGCTATTATCTTCATCTTCATCAATTATCCTTCTTCTCCTCATCGATATCCTCTCCACCTTCCTGCGGTCTCATCCTGCTCCTCCTCCCTCTATACATCCGACGTCGTGAACATCCGCTCATCGTGTAAGACCACGACTGAGGGCCCTCGAGCCTAACGCTTTGCGGCATCTCTCGGGCTGGACCGATCCGTGGTGCCCTGGGGGTCCGGAACGTGTCGAAGGCGTCGGTCTTTTCGCGTCGCCTGGATCTGAAGCTTCCGGAGCTCTTTGGAGGCCCCCCGGATATCTCGCGGGGGACTCCAGATATCAGAAGGTACCAAGGCCTCAAGAAATTTCAGTCCTCGATGAGGGGAGGAGGCATGACGAGGACGTCCAGATGTGAGGACCGTTTTCATCCCGGGGTTAATGCTGATCCTCGATGGGGGGAGGAGGAAGGACGAGGAGGTCCAGATATGAGGGCCCTTTTTATCGCAGGGTCAAGTTTGATCCGATCGATCCGATATGAGATTGATTCCAGCCAGCCCGAGCCGATGCGATTCCGATGTTCTGACGATCTCATGCGGTCCGATGTTTGCATGACGTTGTTTTGCATTTTGGCGCAGCCGATCCGATCCAGCCTCGATTCCGTGCCGATGCTGCTCGATCCGACGCACATTCCGATTTAATCCGACCTCCCGATCGGATGCTGACCGATCCTGCCACACACCGCTACCCCTAGGTGGGTGGCGCTCCGCGTCCACGGAGGTTCCCCCAGTGCCGACCCCGCCACCGCCGGGCGGTCGGCAGCAGCCCCCGGCGCGCGCGCGCGGAGCCCCCCGACGAGGCACGATCACGTTGCTGGAGCTGAAGGGCGTGCTGACGACGGAGTTCCACCTGGAGGACGAGCGGGCGGCGGAGATCTTCAAGGCATCCTCATCCTCCTCATCTCGTTTCTTCCTTGGTTGAGCGCTCAAGCAGGGAATCGGCCCCAAACCCGGAATCCGTTCGGTCCAAACCAGGAATTCGCCTCGAACGCGAAACCCGGAATTCGAGCCGAAACCAGGAATTCCGCAGGTGCGCGAAATTTGGAATTCCGATCGGCCCACTCGGGAATTTTGTTTCCATAATCTTTATTTCTCTGTTCCTTTCGCCTTCTGTACTTCTGCTCCGCGGCCACTCGGCGACAACGAACGATGACGGGCTATGACGGACGACGACGACGACGATTGCGCGCCTGCGCGCGTCGCGTGCGCCCCCGCTCCCGCTCGCGCAGCTCTTCGAGGCAGCGGAGACGTGCGGAGCATGGCCGCAGGAGCTCGTGGAGCCGGAGGGGCTGTTGCTGCCGAAGCCTGGCGGCGGCGACGGGCCCCTGGAGAGGCGGCCGATCTGGCTTCTCCCTATCCTCTGCCGCCTGTGGGCGGCAGGCCGCGCGCGCCCGTTCGCCCGGTGGCGGTGCGACTGGAAAGGGGAGGCGTGGCGGCAGGGAGCGGAGGAGCTCGCTTGGGAGCTGGCCTTGGAGCTGGAGGCGGCGCGGACGCCCTCTCGGAAGAGGTCGCCGGCGCCGCGCTGGACTGGCGAAAAGCGTACGACCATGTCGACCTCCAGACGCTCCCCGCTCTCTTGGTTCGCGCTGGGGTCCCCGACCGGATCTCAAAGCCAGCTCTGGCGGCGCACTCCGCTCGCAGGCGCGTCCGCGTGGGCAAGGCCATCGGGGGTCCGTGGCGGCCTTCCCGGGGCCTGCTGCCTGGTTGCCCGCTCGCGGTGTTCATCCTCGCCGTGCTGACCCTGCCGTGGGTGCGGGCAACCGGCAGGTTGGACGATCGGTTGCGCTGGCGCGTGTACGTAGACGACTGCACGCTCTTGGCGCAGGCTGCCGCCGGAGACGGGGCGGACGTCGCTGAAGCTGTGCGGGGCGCGCTGCGCTTGACGGCCGCTTTGAGACAGCCATGGGCTGGGCCCTGAACCGCGCCAAGAGCAAGCAGTTCGCGAACAGCAGGGAGCTCCGGCGCTGGCTCGCGGAGCAGATCCCTGGGATCCAGGAGGGCATTGAGACGCGACCACCGCGGGCAGGGCCAGGCGTTGCGCAGTCACCGCGGCGCGCTTGCGCGGGGCCTCCATGCGATTTGCCCGCCTCGGCCGCCTGCTACTTAGCTTCGGTGGCCGCTGTTTGCTGGGCGCCGCCGCTGGCACAGCCGCGGGCCTTTACGGCGCCGCGTGCGGACGGCCGCCAGCCTGCGAGCTCGCTGGCCTGCGCGCGGTGGCGAAGAAGGCTGATTGCCGCGGTGGATTGCGGGCGTCCGCGGAGATCGTCTTCGGCGTTTTCGGGCCGAGCTGGCGTCCTGATCCGCTGGCCGTGGCGGTGACCGCCCCCTTCGGCAAGCTGCGAAAGCGCTCTGTCGGAGTCGTTTCCCGACAGACTTGTGGCGCGAGGCCGCAGGCGCGATGGCTGCTGGGCACGGTCGGCGTTTCGGCCCGATCGCAGCCGCCCTCCGCAGGTGGGGGCCGACATCGAGGCCTGGAGTGGCATCCCAGAGGCCCCCGACGACTGGCGTCCAGCCGCCCGCGCCCTCCCGGACACTCGCGCAGTCCTGCTGGAGGCCTAGGGGTGGCGGGAAGCCCGCGAGGTCGCCAGGCGCCGGGCCGACTACCGGCACCTCGCGGGAGGCGCGGATCGCTGGGCGACTCGCCGGCTCTTGGAGACAGGGCAGCTAGCGCCCGACGCTGTGGGCGCCTTGCGGACGGTGATTTCTGGCAATGTGATCACGGAGTCCGTAGCAGCCAAGTGGGGGAGGCCGCAGGCGCGCCCCCACTGCGGGGCCGCAGTCGAGGATCTCGAACACAGGCTGTGGGCGCGCCCGCGATGGCAAGCGGCGCGCCACGCGGCCTTCGCGACGAGCGGCTTCACCCCAGCCGCTGCGCGCGCTTGCTTGGCAGCCGAGACAGCGAGGACAGCGGTGCCCCCCTCTGGGCGCCCGCCTGGCCGCCGTGGCCCAGCAGGCGCCCCCCTTGCCGCCGCTTTCTGACCCCGCCGCCGAGGAGCTGCCGCACGGAAGGGTCCGCGCCTGGACCGACGGTTCTTGCTTGCATCCAAGGGCCTCCCTGCTCGCCCGCGCGAGATGGGGCGCGAGGTTGGAGGGGCTTCCCGTCGGGCGCATCGACCGCCGCGGCCAGGCTGACGGGCGGCAGACCGCGCCGCTTGCCGAGCTGTGGGCCGCGGTGCAGGCGTGCAGCCTTGCAGGGGCCTCCCATCGACGTCGTCGCAGATTCCAAATTCGTGGGTCGCGGGGCTGCCGCGCTTCGGGGCGCCGCGAGGGCGACGAACTGGCCGCGCGCCTGACCTTTCGGAAACAATCGCGCCGCACTGCCGCAGCGGGCTGCTGCCTGCCCGCTGGGTCAAGGGCCACTTGGACCAGGCGGAAGCCGCCGCTCGCGGCATCGCCGAGGCGGACTGGGCTGGCAACGCAGCTGCGGACAAGCTCGCCGACGCTGGGGCGCGGGCCCAGCCCCCGCCCCTCGACTTGCGCCAGCAGCGGCCGCAGCAGCTGGACGCGCTCGAAGCGCTCAGCGCGTGGCGGCGACGGTGGAACTTGCCGCTCTCAAAGCGAACCACGGCCCCCGCCCAGGCGGGCCAAGGGTGCGGCGCCGCTGGGCCGCGCCAGGGCGCCGCCGGAGGCGCGCTCCCCGCGTCGGGGACACAGCCGCCGTGGCTGCGGCCGCGGCGCCGCCGCCGCAGCGCGGGATGGCTGCCCCCCCGGCGTCCGCGGCGGCGCCGCGCCCAGGGGCGAACCTCTTCGCAGGCCGCGCCTGGCTGGCGCACGCGGCGTCCCAGGGCCACGCCTGGGTCGCCTGCATTCGCTGCGGGTGCTGGGCGCCGACGTGGCCGCTGCTGGCCTGCCGCCCGCGCGGCGGGTGGGTGCCCGCGTTGCCGCCGCGCGCGGGCATGCTGCTGTTGCTGCCAGCAGCGCGCGCTGGCGGCAACGAGGCGGCCTGGCGCGCCGTCCTCAGGGACCGGCTGGCCGCGCGCCTTGGCCCGCCTGACTGGGGCGGGCGGCGCCGGGCGGGCGCGGGCGCTGCTCCCTCGCCCCCCCTTGCCCTCCTCTAATCGTCGTCGTCGTCCGTCGTCTTCCCCCTCTCTCGCCGCCGGGCTCCGCTGCGATGGTAAAAGCGCGCCCCCGTTCTCGCCCGCTCGGCGCCGCGGGGTCGCCACGCCAGGAGTAGAGTGGACTTGTTTTGCCCCCGAGGAGGGGCCAGGTGGCGAGTAGAGTGGCGTGCTACTGTTTCGCCCCCCCTGGCGTCTCCCCGCGGCGAGTAGGAGTGGATTTGCATGCGGGTCCGTTTCTCGGCGTTGCCACGTAACGAGTACAAGAGAGTAGTAGTTTTGTTTCGCCCCTCGCGCGTTGTCGCGTGCCGCGTTGAGCGGAGCAGTTTCTTTTCGCCCCGTGGCGTTGCCGCTCCGCGCGCCCATCGTCCCGCGCAGGCTTGCCCTGACAATGAAAATTCTGAGTGCGTCAGCGCGGCCGATCCGCGCGGAAGATTTCAAAATCAGGGCATGCAGTAGAGCATATACAGTGGAACCCATGCCAAGAAACATCCTGCTTGCCTCCACGGTGCCCTGGGTGTCTTGGGTTTCGATGGTTTTGCGATGGGAAGCGTGACGTTCCCACGCCACAAATCAATGGGCGCCCCGGGGTCTCAGGGCTGGGATCCTTGTGGATTGTTTCTTGTTGCCGAGCTCCTAGCTGTCTTTGCCCCCCACCCTGGAGCGTTTTGTTTTTCCCCGTTTTCCCAACCGTTGCCGCTCGTTTGGATGTCAAAAAATTTCGTGCCTCGAACTCCGAAGGGTATGAGGAGCGTTCGTGGATTTCTCGGATCTCCTAGGGCGTCCTCACTGGCCATAGTCGGGCTCCCTTCGAGTTTCCGTCGGAACGAACCTCAGGATTGACCTGGGGGGCCAGATTTCCGACGGCGTGGAGAGATTGCGATCGGAGGTTGTTCTGCGTTTTTGCTTTCCGGAGGCCCTCGACTGGCTCCTGGCCCAGCAGGCTCCTGGCCGGGCAGAAAACGGCCCAGGACGAACAATTGGTTCTGGAGAGTGGGTCGGGACTCCCGGGGATGCCGCATGGAAAGAATAATGGCATCGGATGCATGGCTCTTCTGCGCTCTGATGCCGGACGACGACAAGCACTCCGATACAGATGCGATGTTTTTTTTACATCGGGGTTGCGTTTCGTCCTTCTTGCGAGATTGCACCGAGCTGAACTGATTACAGATCACGTGCGTGCAAAGGTGTAGGAGCATTGCTCAGACATGTGCCAGGACTCATAGGAAAAGAAATTGTGCTTGCTCCAGCATTATTCGAAATGTCGTTGTCGCCATCCTCTTCCAACGGTGCCCCAGAGGACGCGGCGCGGTCTTGATCGTGGTCGGGCGTGTCTGCCCTAAAATTGAGAGTTCTTGTTCTCGGATCCGACGCGAACCACGCAAATTTCAACATTAGTGCTGCCTGTGCGGTCGTGGTCGTGGGGCGTTGGTATTATAGCGTCGGTGGCCTGTTGTCGATGTTTGTTGTCGCCGTTGTCGTCGTCGTCGTCGTCGAAAAGAAACAATGACGACAACGACGACGAGCAGGAGGAGGCGGAGGGCTACAGGAGAGAATGTGGAGGATGTCTCCCTTTTGTCTTTCGGGGCCCCAGAAGAGGTGGACTCGAAGGTTTGGGGGGTGTACACCGTTCGAGAGGTGCTGAACGTTGCTTCCGGCTTCCAGGGGCCTTCAGAGGGGTTCTGGGGGCCGACGTTCTGAAGCAAATCATGGCGCCTGGTCTTTGCGGGGAGAGTCCGACGCGGCGGGGGCGCGCCGTGGGCTCTCAGGCCCGACGGCGCGCCAGGGGGCACGGCGCGGTGCTCATCGTGGTCGGGCGTGTCTGCCCAGAAGGAACTCTCGTTCTTTCTGGATCTGACGCCAACCGCGAAGGCCTCAAAATTAGGGCCTAAAGTTAGGACAGCTTGTGTGGTCGTGGTCGTCGGCCATTGGTTTCTAGGATCTGTCGTCTGTTGTCGATGTTTTCCCCTGACTCGTCATCGCCGCTGTCGTCGTGTACGAGAACGAAGGCGATCTCAAAAGCGAGGAGGAAAAGGAGGAGGAGGAGGCGGATGGCCACAGGAGAGGATCCAGCTTACATTTTTCGTATCTATTTCGGAGGAGGAGAAGAGGAGGGGTTGAACATCTGGCAAGTGTATACCTTTCCTGGAGACGACCCAAGGATTATGGGGTCGCCACGGTCGACCGCCACGTCGAGATTTTTGAGTTTTCCCAGGGCGGTCTCCCGAGGAGCTGTCGAAACCCGGGAAGACCTCCGGACAGGGGCCGACGTTGTGAAGGATATCGTGGCGCCTCGTCTCTGGGGGGGGTCCGACCCGGTGGGGCCGCGCCATGGGCTCTCTGGCCCGACGGCGCGCCAGGGGACACGGCGCGGTGTTCATCGTGGTCGGGCGCGTGTGCCCCAAAATTGAGAACATTGCTTGTAAGGAATCGGACGCCAACCGCGAAGATTTTCAAGTGGAAGCGGACTGTGCGGTCGTGGTTGGTGGTTGTCGGTGGGTGTTTTTTTAGGTCGGTGATCTGTTGTCGATGTTTCTCTCCTGGCTCGTCATCGCCGCTGTCGTCGTGTACGAAAACGAAGACGGCCACAACGACGAAGAGGAGGCGGAGGAGGTGGAGGGCTACAGGAGAGAATGGGATGATGTTTTTCCGAACATTGTTCGGGGGAGGAGGAGAGGAGGGTTTGAAGATCCAGGCTCCGTTGAGACACTGGGCTGTTGGTTCTTCGCCAGGAGTGTGGATACTCTGGTTGCCCGTGGTGTTCCTGGTTCCGCCGATCTAGGAATTCCAGGTCCGGGCCAGCAATTCTGGCTTTCACCAGACTGGATTCCGGGTTTGGCTTCGCAATGCTGGGCTCGGCCGGAGTGACTTCCGGCTGCCGAGTTTCTTTCTGGTTCGGGGGGCCTGCTCCTCGCCACGGCCAGATGCAGCCCGAAGAACTAGTCGGGATGGGCCCCTGGAGGGATCTGGGGGAGCGATCTTGAGCGGACTTATTAGACAGAAGGCGATGGCTGCGACGACCACGACCACGACCAGGACGACGGCGACGACCACGGCGTCGGCGACGACGACGACGACGGCGGGGCAGCGACCGCTTGGTTGCGCGTGCTCGCCTCTCTGCTCTGGTCTCCTGTCGCCCTCGGAAGGACGCTCGACAAAACCGGGTGTCAATACATTGGAAGATGGCGCGAATAAACCAGCTATTGATATGATTGATCTGTGCAAGGACTGAGATTATGTCCGCCATGCCAATCTGGAGAAGGCAATGACAATGCCTGATAATTATCGCATGAGCTTCAATGCTTCGATGGGGCGCGGAAGGTGTTGGCAGCGCAGTAGCGCGATGGGAGGATGTTGGGTAAAGTGCCCACGAGGCATCCATTATGAAATCCTGGGTCTTGAGAGTTTGTCGAGTGGGGGGCTACGACCAGGATAAATGGCTTTAGAGCGTTCCGGAATGCTCTCAGAGCGTTGCAGAGCTCTGCGTCCCCTGCTACATCTTCCAGAACCGCCACGTAAGAGAGATCCTCGATATATCCCAGTCCGATTGTGTCCCTGTGCTGGTTTTGCCATATTGTGTATAGACAGAGAAGCTGATCAAGAGCGCATCTTTCCTTGCCAACACCTTCTCGTTCGGTTCCAAAGAAGTGGTCGATTCGGAAGCGGGGCAGCGGAGGCATTGGACACGGCGAAGAACGACGAGATCCATTACTCGGAGTTCCTCGCGGCGGACCTTTCTCTTGATTTGACGCTTGCTTGTCTGGTAGTGTCCCACGCAGCTTGCCCCCCCTGGAAGGATAGTATTTTATTGGGCATTGGAGAGTGAGGCTGGAGGTAGACTGGAGGAGGATGGGGACGTGCAGATTAGGATGAGGACGAGGTGAAGGAGGATCCACAGAAGTGCAGCAGAAGGCTGAGGAAAGATAGGTGTGGGAAGAATACGGACGCGGATGCGGAAGTATACATTGAAGTGGAATGTGGAATCTCAGTGAGAGTGGACGTAGGAGTAGTAGTTCAGTCAAAAACATAATGTCACGCGTATTGATTAGTGAGGGTGTTCCTAGGAATTTATCACCTCAGTATCCGCAGTGAGCGCAATTGTGTTCTACACAGTATTGCGAAGGCCTTACGGCCGTTGCCGCCGACCCTGAAGATGACGAAAGACAACACGAGGGGGGGGGGCACGAGGAGGAGGAGGAGGAGGAGGAGGCGGAAGGGAGTAGGAGGAGGAAGGGTGAAGGGGGAGGAGGAGGAAGCCTTATGCATGTTGGTTGGGATCTCGTGGTTGACCTCTCGGGGGCGTCTCGAAGGCAACTTGAAGCCTCTTGGGGGCCGTTGTGGGGCCTCTTCGGGCCTCTTTTGGGCCTCTTGGAGCTTCCGGAGGCCGTCTTCGGCGCATCTTGGGGGCGTCTTGGCGCCGCTTGGGGGCCTCTTGGGGCCTTTTGGGGGCCTCTTGGGGCTTCCCGGGGGCCTCTTAGGGCGGAAGTCTCGAATTCTCGGTTCCTCGTCCCCCTCTTGGCCGTTTCTTGGGCCCGTCTTGGGGCCCTATTGGGCCGTCTTGGGCGCCTCTTGGGCTGTCCTGGGGCCTTCTTGGGCCGTCTTGGGGCCCTCTTGTAGGCCTCTTGGTGCGCTCTTGGGGGCCTCTTGGGGGCCTCTTGGGCCGTCTTGGAGTGTCGGAAAGCCGAAAAGGCGAGAAGGCCAAAATCATTCAAAAACCTATGTAAAATTAACGATTTTGGCTCCTGGGGCCCTCTTGGGAGTGCTCTTGGGGCTCTCTTGGAGCGTCTTGAGGGCCTCTTGGGCCATCTTCGGGCCGTCTTGGGCGTCTTGGGGCGATCGTTCGTCGAGTCGAGGCCCTCTTGTACCCTTTTGGGGGTGTCTTCTGGCGCTCTTGGCTCGTCTTGAAGCTTTTCTGAGCTCCGGGACCCCCCGGGGAGGATGCGTATCTGGGTGGCGACCCCCCCCGGCGACCCCCCCCCCCCCCCGGCGGGGAGGGTAGGGAGGGGCTTCGCCACGACTCAACTACGACGTTGCTCAATGTCGCTTTGGCTCGCGCGCTCAAGGAGACGGGGAACGACGAAGACGACGAGGGACAACGGAGACGGAGACGACGAGGACACGACGGAGACGACGACGACGACGACGACGACGACGGTGATCCACGCAAGACGACGACACCGGGATGCGTCTTCCACACGCCGACAGGGTCGGCGGATTTACACAGTATTGAAGGTGCATAGCAAAAGAGGCCGTAGCAGAAGGAAGTCGCATCAATCGGAGTCGTAACTCGCGGTTGTATTCAGGATGTTGATACTATCAGTCGCAGTGTATTGGGGAATCCCGTCCAGCGGCATATCAGTTCAGTTTGCCATAGTCTCCACTCGCATTCACGTGCACATCCGCCTCTTCATAACACCCCACCTCATCCTCCATTCCTCGCCCTCCTCCGCGGAAGTCTGTAAGTGGAATGGATGGCGCCGTCATCGCCTTGCGTTTTGCTCTCGCGGGGCCAGCGGGGACCTCTGGGTTCGGATCCGGGCTGTCATCCGTTCTCGAGGGTCCTGATAAGGATCCGAATATTTTGCAGGAGGAATCCAAAGACGGCGAACTGCTCTCAATGCGCGCGAAGTTATACAGCCTTATGAATCAGATCCTGTTGGGGATTGCTACGTTGAAATTGTTGTGTGAGTAGGTGCTGATGACGCTGCCGATTTTTGAGCAACTATGAAGTACTTTCATATTCAACGCTTGGGAAAGATATGAACGTGTACGGCATGACACATATCAAACATGAATATCGGACGGAGCGTCAATGCAGCGATCTGATGATGACATCGTGAGCCAGAAGGACGACAACAATAGGAACTGGATCACTGACGTGCTCGCCCACAACATCAGGGACGAAATCCGTGACCAGCTGAAAGTCAACATCAACGACAGGATGAGTGACCTGCTCGCCAAATACATCCGCGCCTGCATCAGTGACCAGCAGGACGTCAACGACAACGCCTGGATCGGTGACCTGTTAGCCAGCATCATCCGCGACCATATTAGTGACCAGCTGGACAAGAACGACGGCGGCGGGATCAGTGACGTGCTTGCCGAACATGAACATCTACTAGTTATTGTTCGTGTGAGGATGGCAACAATGTCATTCGCGAAACTTGCACAGGAAAGATACAGAGAGCAATTTTAAATGTTGCAGCTCTAACACGAACATCAAGAGGGCAACATTGATTTGAGAAGATTGCAGATCTTGTCGGCGATATACAACAAGCAGACTGCGCGACTCGGAGCCAACAGTACATTCCATATCAAACGAGGTGTTCGTCAAGGTGACGTTCTGAACCCGCTTGCAGACCCGATACTGCGATGAGGGGTCTGAGTGCGATGATAACCGCGAGGTTGTCGTTGTCAGCAATGACGAAAATATGTCAGCAATATATCAGCAATGATCGGCGATGGTATGTTGCTTAGCGGCACCTGCAGAGGTGTCTACCGATACGCCCAAGCTCAAGGGCCCTCAAAAGATTTGAGCCCAAATAGTTACGAAAGGGCATGTTACCTTCCGTCTGAATATTAGCACATATGCTAAACTGCTTCTACAGATCAGCACTGACACGATTTATTTCACACTCGTGCAAAATTCTTCTGATCTCTGCGTCTGCCGATATAGCGCATTTAGACGTGGTAATGGCACGTCAACGAGCTAAAATGAGACCAGGCGCACTGTGCGCTTGAAAAGTGAGCCGGCACTGGTCAGGTGTGCTTCGTGCTCTCTGGCCTGGTCAGTCGGCTCTTGATGCTGCAAAGCGAGGCGTGTGTCTCGCAGCACTGCCCTGATGGCACTGCCGTCCGATCGCTTGGTGAACTGATCACCGAGCTGTTGATCAGTCGGAACCCAAAAGAGAGGCAGTTGGCTGCGCTAATCGTCAGCGACGAACTCGTTGCTAACTTCCTCTTCCTGTGACTCCTTGAGGCCCACTAGGTGGAGCAAAAGGCGCCGCTCTGACGGGAGCTTGGAATAACCGTCTTTGTGCATCGTATCGTACAAGCTGGCGCAATCTGCGACCTGAGCGAGCGGCAACAGACTCGGCGGGATGTCCTCTGGATGGGCATCCGGAATCTCTAGCGAAGCGAAAACACAGCGTGTAATCTGAGCACAGCCTAGAGCGTCTACTGCCGACATCGTCTCGGTTGCCAACGTAGATCTACAAACTCTCTTGATGGTGCCCGATCTCCAATCAACGATCCCTGTTCGAGCTCGATATCCGCGTAGTAGCTTGGCCTCTGCGAGAAAACTCACGTAGCCGGCCTGCGAGCGAATCTTGATCTTCTTGTCCTTACTGTTTGCTCCCATGGTCTTGGCGAGCAACTTGGAGATGGCGCCTTCAGCTGGCTCATCAGCGTTGGCCCAACTGGCGTCGTGGAACGTCACCAGGCACAGAGGTCCACGTAGCTTGAGGAACTCCAAACCCACGTCCGCGTGCTTCCGCGCCAGCTTGATGAGCCTGTTCGTCTCGAGCAAGTCCTGGATGGTGGGCTTGTTCTGGGTTCGCTGCCTCATGGCCACTCCAGCTGCCAGGTCGGGACGAGTCTGCGATGAAAGCCACCCGAGCGCTCCGAGTGCGGAGCGGTTGTCCGAGAACTCGGCTGGCGTAGCATCTAACGACAGTTCCGTCTTGCGCTCTTTGCTGAGCGGAATCTCCTCGATGGTGTTCGCGTACTCGGTTTGTCGTAGATGCACTACTCCTTCTTGATCTCGCCGGGCCTGCTTGCCGCAAAAGGTAAAAGGCGTGCCTCGCCAGTCGCCCCAGGGCAAAAGCTTGTGAAGCCTGTCGTAGAGGCCCGGGCACTTGCGCGAGATCCCCAGCAGCAAGTCGTCCACGTGGGCGACCACCACCGCACAGAGCTCCCCGTGCTGGTCGTAGCCGTAGTACAGCGCTGGGTCCAGCGAGTGCCGGTGCAGGCGGAACACGTAGTTGTCGTTCAGCTTCTCCTCCACCGCGAGCAAGGTCCTCTTGAGCTTCGCCCGCCGCTGCCTCGGTGCCGTCGCCAGCCCGAAAACTCCCTTGGGGATCTTGATCAGCTGCTTCGGGTTGAGCCCAGGCAGACCTTCGCGAGGCTGGGCCATGTGCAGCTGCTGGTCGGGCTGCTTGTCGCCTTGCATGAAAGCCGCCTCCACGTCCGCCGCGTAGATCTCCAGGTCGAACCTCTGGCAGATAGTGAAGAACAGCATGGTCGAGTTGCGGGTCACCGTGGGCGCGCCCGTCCACAGGTCCCCCTGAGCGAGGCGCGGGTCCATGTGACCCCCGACGCAGAGTCGGGCCTTCGCCTTGACCGGCAGCGGATGCTTGTCGGTCCGCAGCGGGGCGTTCTTGTCCCGGTACACGAACCGGCTGGGCAGGATGAGGCTGGGCTTGATCATGCTCCTGATCGCCTCGGACTCCTCGATGGAGAGTACCTGACAAGAGCCATACTTCTGCCACTCGCTCCACTGCTTTGCGGCCGCCTCCCTGAAGAGCTCCCGATCGGAGTCCTTGATGGCTCTCCAGTGGATCTCCATGTCGGCCTGCTTGCGCTTGATCCTCCCGGTCATGATGGAGGTTTGCAGTTCTTGTCTTGGAGCCGACCTCGAGCGTTGGGGGGGCTCCTTCTGCTTCGGGTCCGGCTGCTGCCTCTTGGTCGGGCGCCGCCGCGCGGTCGCGCGAAGCTGCCCTTGCGGGCATGGCGCCAGAGCCTGCGTGCTCCCTCTCGGTCTGGAGGCGCTTGAAGGCCGGGCCGAAATCGCCGCTGCCCCCCCCGTCGAAGGTAGCTCGACGTCGTCGGAACTCGTCAGGGCCGTAGGTTCGCTCTTCTTCAGCTTGCTGCGGCACGTCGGCGGGCAGCACCTGGATCTGCTCCTGCTGGGGCGGATCCTCGGAGACGTTCAGCCTGAGGTCGCTGTCGCCCGGGTTGTCGATAAATTCCCGCCACGCCTGCTCCATCTCGTCTGGCTTGACCTCGGGCTCGCCAGGCGCCGGGCGGATCTCCTCCACCGGAGCCTCTTCCTGTTCGAGCGAGTCGCGAGCCCGGTTGAGCTCGGCCACGGCCTGACCGATCTCGCCCCTGCCGATCGGGAACCAGACGTCGTCCGGAGCGAGTGCCTTGATGTGCTCCGGGGCCGCCAGCATGGTGTGCCCTCCTAGCGAGACCCAGGTGTTCTCGCCTTGGTGGCCGATGACTACGCACGGCCCTCGCCAGATGCCCTTCTTGGCGTTGCGGTTGTGCTGCTCCCGCTGCTCCTTCTTCTTGACCTGGCGGAAGACGTAGCACATCTCGCCCACTGACAAGGGCGTCGCCACCGTGCGCGCGCGAGCCAACATAGCTCGCCGGAGCTGGTCGTCGTTCTGCATCCTCATGAACGACTCGCGCGCCGCCGTCCGAATAGCATATCGTCGGCGAATCCTCTCGTCGTTGGCGGCGAGGCTGTGGGCGCTTTAGTTCGCCGTATCGTCCACTAGGTCTCCGGGCATCTTGGGGTCGCGTCCCAGCACCCACTGCGCGGGGCTGAAGCCTGCTCGCCTTCTCAGCGAGTTCGCGCCCGAGACCATGATGGCCAGCGTCCGCATCTCGCCCTCGCCCCTGATCGACGAGTGCTCGATCGTCCTCGCCGCGAGCTCCTTCCACCAAGCTCCCTGGCGTTCCACGCGACCGAGCTGCCAATGTGCCTGACCGGCGATGGGCAGCTGCACCGCGTTGAATGACTGGAAGAGCTCGCTGAGGGCGCCGCCGAACCCCTTCTCCATGTCGAAGTGGACTCGGTCCGGTACGCCTGCCCAGGAGGTCCAGCACCTCTCGAACGCGGCGGCGAACTCCTGGCTGGTGTGGCGACCGATCAGCGTCGCGACGTGGAAGGTGGTGGCCAGGTCAACGATATTGAAGTACCAGTAGCTCTTGCCGTCGACGTCCTTGAGCTCGAAGCAGTCGAAGCCGACGTCGTCTTCAAAATCTTGCACGAAGTGGAGGTGCGCTGGTCGCCTCGCGCTCGGGCGCTGCTGCGAGCGGCACACCCCGCAGATCAGCCCCTTGACGGCCTGGACGGTGGCCGACTTAGCGCCTTTGAGTCGCAAACTGCGGCCCAAATCTTCATTAGACGGATGGCCCATGTTGACATGGAGTTTCTTGAGCATGGCCAGTTCGGCTGGCTTGCAGCAGGCCGCTGCTTTCTTTGCGAAGGTAATCGCGCCGACCCCGATCCTGCCGTCCACAGTATCTTCGGCCCGCACGTCGTGAGTGTCGGCGAAGTCGTCTCCGCCGCCCATGGGGTCTGGGTCCCCATCAGGCTCGCCCGTCTCTCCCAGGGGCGCGGCGTCGCTCACGTAGGCTGTGGCCTGCCCCCTGGGCACTGTCACGATGAAGGGCGACGAGTGCGACTGGCAGTCCACCTGGTAGGCGCGCTGCCCACCTTGCTGGCGAATGACCTGCAGACTTGCGCGCCGCCACGTTGTCCCCGAAGGTCTGGTCGTGGTGCTTGTGGCTGCAGGTGCGCTTCAGCTGCTCGAACTCCTTGTGGGTAACGAGCAGCTTCGTGGGGTGCTTGATGAGTCCCCCGGTCTTGTAGTGTCGAGCTCCGTACTCGCACATGTCGCACCTCACCTGGTGCACGCGCTCGTCCGCCAGTAACTCCAAAATCGCGCGCTGTGCCCAGAGCCGGCTGGTGGCCGGATTCTCGATCATGGCCATGTCGCCAGAGTCGAGCTGGTGCTTGAAGAGGTCGCGGGCCAATAAAAGGAACGGCCGCTCTGCCCTCCAGATCCGCCGGAGCGCCTGCTTGGCCTGCGGCGTCCGACAGCTGAGGTGCGTGATGTTCGTGTAGTGAGTGCAAGGTAGCTCGATTGACACGAACTTCGGCCTTGAGGCGTAGTACAGGTCGTACGTCGCGTCGAGGTCCTTCTGCTTGCGTAAGTCCCATCCGTACTTGCGGTCGATCACCTCAGTGGCCGTCAACTGGCGCTTCCACGCCGCCTCGGTAATGCCGCCTTCGCCTCCGAACACTTGCATGACGTCCACGCGGTGGCTGCGAACGCTGTAGGCCTCCCTGACGTTCTGGACGTGGTCGACCACGTCTCGCGCAGCACTGGTGGCATGCTGCACCACTGGCTTGAGAGGTCTAGCCAGCCAGTCCGCGGTGAGCACCGTCTGAAAGGCGAAGGCGCTCAGCAAGCCCGTGACCTGGTAGAGGAGGCCGACGCGCTTGCCCTTCTTGATGCCTGGCCGCCGCCTCGGGGCTGGCGACCGCCGCCTAGTCTCGGCTCTGCTGAGGTTCCCGGGAGCCGCTCGGGGGATCCTCCTTGTCGGTCTCGCCCGCCTTCTCGAAGCCCATGTCGCTGGTGTCCACCTCGTGCGGCTCCGGAGGACGCTGGCGCCGATGCCCGGCCAAGCTCCCCTGGCTTGCTGAGGCCCTCGTGGTCGCCGCCGCCGGCGCCAAACACTCGTCGTCCAGCACCACCTCCTCGGCCATCACTACCTCCAAGGTGGTCTTGGCCTTCTCCGGGGGAAGGGGCTGCGCTCCGTGCGCCTTGACCCACCTGGCGAATCGCGCCAGGAGCGGGCTTGCCCGGCTGCTGTTGAGCTCCAGGACTGCCCACTGCGCGTAGCCCAGGTCGTTCTTGAGCACCCAGCGGTAGTCCGCCGTGGGGCACTTGCCGAAGCGCATCTTGTCGGCCCCGGTGACCTGCGAGCTCGGATGAGCCACCGTTGCCGAGGCATTGCTGGCCGAGTCCTCGACCTTCCAGCCCTTGAGGCGCTGCCTGAGCTCCGGCACGGTCGTGCGCTGGTCGAACTCGATCTGGCGGTCCCGGCGCAGCTGCTGGAGCTCCTCCTTGTTATTCTTGCCGAGCCCCGGGATGTAGTCGCCCTGCGGCGTGCTCTCGCGGCCCTCGGCCCTCAGCGCACGCAAGATCACCCGGAGCTGGTCGCAGGTGGCGTCGCGCACATCCAAGTCGCAGCTTGCCACCTCGGCCTGCAGGTCCGGCATCCGCATGCTGGATATCGCCGGGAGACGGGCAGTACTCGTCGTCGGCAAGTTCTGGCCGCTGCCCCCCGGGCTCGTCTCCTTGGGAGATGTCGTACATCGCTGGTGCGACGGGAGCATAAGCGCCGGCCGCTGGTTCGTGGAAAGCTGCGGTGGCTGGATCTGCCACGGCACGCGTCGTACTCGCTGGTGGAGCCACAGTTGAACTCGAGCCGGATGGCTGCGGTGATGATGTAGTTTGATGACTGCGTGCTGATGGCTGATCTCGTGGCTCATCACGGTTTGCTTGCTGTTGAAATCGAACATGCCGTGACGGAGGATCGCTGCGAGGTTTAGCTCCTCTTTCGTCATGATCGTGGTTTGTCTGCATATTCTGTGCTGTGCTGACTGACCTAATACACACTCCCCAGGCCTCGTCTTCCGATCCCGACGACGATTGACGTGATGGAATGTATGCGCTCATGGCCTGGCGCACCTGCTGCTCGAACAGTTCGGCGCTATCGAGCGCGTCGCAGTCAGTGTCCGACTGAGACTCGTCGGCCTCCGAGGCTACCCTTTGGTGGCGAGCCTCGGGCACCGCCGGCTTGGCGGCGCTGGTTACAGCTGTCTCAGCGTGGTAAGAAGCACAAGGGTGGAGACGAATCTCGGCCTTGGTCTCCGAGACGTCCGAAACGGGCTTGTAGCCCGGCGCGAAGCCTGTGATGTCCAGCGTCGGGTGTCCGGCGCGGCTCAGGCCCATCTGGATGTCGTGCTCGTCGATCGAGTTGATGTCCAGCTTGTTGTCTCCGGCGTGGTAGACGATGTCCAGCTCGCTCTGGGCCTTGCGGCTGAACAGTCCTGGCACGGCGCTGCGCACGATGCTCATGCGGACGGTGAAGGCCTTGCCGTTCACCGAACAGGGGATCAGCGCCGCCTTGAGGCTGAACACCACCTTCGACGCCCCGAACCGGAACGGCTCCTTCTCGGGGTACTCGATGGGCTGGATGTTGAAGGCGGCCAGCCTCTTCTTGATGTCGTTGTACCAGTCGAGGCCGCCGACGCACCGAGCGCAGGCCGTGTCGAAGGTCAGCTTGCCCCCCGACTCCTTGACGCTGAGGTAGATCAGCGCCGAGCTCGTCGCGGCCATCAGGCACTGGTGGTCCTTATTGATGAAGAACGCCGCCGCCGTAACTTCTTCGGGTAGCTCGGCGGCCTGGCGGATTTGCGTCCAGTCGATGCTGTGCAGCGCGCCGTACTTCCTGTCGCGAGCCGCGGCCCGCTGGTCCTGCTGGTAGACCGCCGCGACCGTCATCTCCGCCACGTGAGGCTCTTGCGCGTCGCTGGTCTCGTGCGTGGCGATGTTCGTCCTGTTGCTTCCCTTCTTCGGGATGTCGGCCTTGGCGTTAGGGTCGTTCTTCTTCGAGCACTGCGGGTCACCGCGCCAATGGCCCTTCTGGCCGCATGCGCCGTAGTGTGTCCTTGCCTTCATCTTGGCGAGCTTGGGATCGTCTCTCTTCGGCGGGTTGCCGCCGTCGCGCTTGGCGAAGTAGCCACGCGCCTGCTTCGCCTCCTTCAGCTTGTCCTTGGCGCGCACCATCTTCTTGGTGAAGAACGCTACCTGCTCCTCCGCCTCGTCGATCACGTCCTGCAGCTCGTCGGGCAGCTCGTCCTCGTAGTCGTCGGAGCTGTCTGAGGACGCGCCGTCGAGCTCGGCCCTGCGATCCTCCTCGTAGGTCTCCGTGGCGTACGCCCGCTTGTGGTCCTTGTTCTTGTGACCTCCGTAGCCTCCTGTGTCGTGGCTGTCCTTGTTGCCGTCCACGACCGATACCTTGGGCAAGTTGATCATCAACTGCTCCTGGATCTTGGTGGGGTTGAACTGGTTGCCCACACCGTTGAGCACGCTCGCCGCGCGCTCCGGGGGCAGGCGGGCCCCCTTGATGTACAGGTCCGCCAAGACCTCGTCGGGCACTTGGATGCCCTTGGCCTTCAGCTCGGTGGCGATCCCATGGAAGCGGTTGTTGTAGTCGCGGATCTCCTCGTACTTGTGTTGGACGCAGGCCTGGCGCACGAAGGTCTCCAGCAACGCTGGGGTCTCCAGCACTTCGATCTCGGGAAAGCGCTTCCCGAGGTACTCCAGGAACACCTCCACTGAGTCGTCGCCCTTGATGGCGTCCAGGTCGAGCTCCTCGCACGCCTCTTCGGCCTTGCCCTTCTGGCTGGCCAGCAAGGTCGCTCCCTGCTTGGGCGGCTTGACCTCGGTCCCGATCTGCCAGGTGGCGACCTCTCGGCGGTACTTCTTCATGGTCTTATTCGTGCCATCGAAGACGGGTACGGGGATCTTGCCCCCGTTGCTCTTGTCCTCGCCGCTGGCTGCAGCGGCTCCTCCTGCCGTCGCCATGGTGGCGACCTCGAACGGGAGGTACAGTCGCAATCCAAATCACGAGGCTGTAGTGCTTGCTCAGTGACTCTGCGAAGTCGCGCACGTAGCTGCCGTGGTCGAGTTAGCTCCTGCTACCACTGCAGACCCGATACTGCGATGAGGGGTCTGAGTGCGATGATAACCGCGAGGTTGTCGTTGTCAGCAATGACGAAAATATGTCAGCAAAATATCAGCAATGATAGGCGATGGTATGTTGCTTAGCGGCACCTGCAGAGGTGTCTACCGATACGCCCAAGCTCAAGGGCCCTCAAAAGATTGAGCCCAAATAGTTACGAAAGGGCATGTTACCTGCCGTCTGAATATTAGCACATATGCTACACTGCTTACAGATCAGCACTGACACTATTTATTTCACACCGCTGCTGTTTAATGCTGCGCTGGAGATGGTCATGCGGCGCTGGTAAACCTGCTTGCGCGACCACGGCCTGAAGCGCGAGCCCGGATGCCGCAGCAGACGCTTGTCCCACGTGCGATTCGCAGATGACCTGATTGTTTTCGCAAACAGTCTGGAAGAGCTTACGGAGATGCTCGACATGCTGAGCCAGGAGCTACAGCAAGTCGGCCTAGAGCTGAACGCCATGAAGAGCCAGATTTTCACCCTGGATCTGCATTTGTACGATAACGCGTCCGAGGTCTTACTTGACACTGCTGGAGATTTCATCAACGTGGTGCGGTCTTTTGGTTACCACACATACTTGGGAAACCGGTCCCTGGGCGACCTCAAGCAACGAGGCAGGGCTATGCTTGCAAATCGTCTTCGTTGTGCATGGGCCAAATTCAACACATTCAGGGCGGCTCTGACGAACAAGCACGTCAACTTCGACCTCCGTGCCCGGCTGTTCGACAGCGCCGTCACGCCGACGGCCTTGCACGGCTTGTCGACAGCGCCATTGACATTGAACGACGTTGAAAAGTTTGCAAGTACACAGCGGCAAATGTTACGCTGCATGGTGGGATATGTCAAACTCGACGCAGATGATTGGCCAGACATGTACAGAGGGCCGAAGGTAAGACTCGAAGCAGCACAAGCTCGCGAGCCCATTTGGCAATGGGCCACGGAGCTAACCAAAAGCACAGCCCGGTTGCAGGAAAAGCTTTATCATCTGAGCCCAAATATGTCGCTGAGCCCAGTCGCGGCCTGGAATCCAGGCGGCACTATCGACGCAAAGCTGCCTGCCCAACCGAAGCGCTACAGAGGCAGGCCACGAACGACGTGGGACATATTTGCCGTTTGACTCCCCCACCTCCCTCCTTCCGTTCCTCCCTCTCCTTTCTCCCCTCCTTATTTTCCATGCCCAATCATGAATGCATCAGCAGCAGAGAGTTGTAATTGTTTCACTCCGCGTCCGGTATCGGACCGGGCTTCGTGCTCGTGCAGTACCTTGACCTTGACTTGGCCACTAGCGACAGTGTGGAGACAATTTGGCGGTGCGTATTGTATGGGCAGACAGCGGGTCTGGCAGCGTTCGAGCTTGCGTGGGCACTGTGGAGCCAGCTTCCTGGCGACGCGGATGGTCTTGCGGGTCGGCACGGCTGCGGACCACACCACAAACGTGGAGTACAATGATTATCTGGATACCCTGGCGGCGCGGCTAACGCGCAGGCCGCCCTGGAACCCGGGCCGAGGGGTTCCGCCAGACTCCATAAACATTGGTGTATCATTTGCCGAAGGGAATGGTTTGGCACAAGCATGTCAAAGGCGCCAGCAGCCCGTGAACCCCAAATGATAATCAGAGCGAGCACCGCGCTCTGCATGGAAATGGAACCCCGAACTTTGGTTACAAGACGGCGAAGGCGGCAAGAGTGACAGCGAATATGCGTATTAGCTCTGCATTCAACGTAGCATCGGAATAGACCCTGAACGCAACATTGCAGAAGAGGCTTGCGCCGCAGTTCAAAACGTCATGCGAGTTGACGATGGCATTCCACAAGGACCAGGAGAAGGCACATAACATCTTGAACAATGGACTGGTAAGAATCCGGAATGCGACCTAGCCGAGCCACCGCCAGCCAAGGTAATGGCCATCATTTCCGAAGCCGAGCTCTGCGAGAGTAGAAACAGTGTAGGGGGGGGGCTTGCGTTTGAAAGACGCGCGGGGCGCCCGGGGCTCCCGCCGCGAGGCAGGGGTGCGCCGTCGCGCTCGGAGGCGCCACGGAACATGAGGATGAACTGCCGAGCTTAGGAAGAGCTGCAGCAGTCAAGAAGACGCCAGGTGGGGGCCAAAGCTTCGAGAGCGCCATCATCGTTTTCTTCGAGCATCAAAACACCGTTTTCTTTTCAATGCGCCGGTCGAGGTGCCGAAGGAATCTTCGACGGCACTGCAGACTGCCAAGACAAACGAGACCTCCACGCAGAATGCAAATAATTGGACATGGCCATCAGGTACGCAAAATCAAACAAGAAGTTCAAGCTGCTATCCGAGCTAGACCTGCCACGACACATCGGACCAGAACGCCGACGACGCTACCCGCGGACGACGACTTCGATGCGACGGCCAATTCCGTGGCGGCGGTTGAAGTTGCAGCGGCAGGTCAGATATCCATCGGGGCAGATGTGACATTGCGAGCTGGCGCCGACGCGGCCGCCTATGATGGGGGGGCGCAGATGCCGAGACATGGGTGCCGCTTCAAGAACGCCCTGGGGCATGGCCAGGCTTGGGCGCCCGAGCGAACTCGAACAATTCACGGGGCCTGCCTTCGGGCCCCGGCTAAACGGGGACGGGGCGAGATTTCGCACCAGGGCGGCGCGAGAAGGGGGGGGGGGCTCTCCACGGAAGGCTCCCCCGCCAGCAGAGATGGGCCCTCCTGGGCGCAGTGCCACATGCGGATTTCCGACGCAGCCACTGCCGCGTCGTTGCACAACCCATTGCGATGGGTGGCGGGGGGGCCCGAGTCCACCGGGCGAGGGAACTTCAAATTGGCGGCGGCGATAGCTCACGGGGCGCCAGTCATTGAGGTCATCGAGATGGCAGTATCCGAGAGCACGACTGCGCGGCCGTCTAAAACGGAAACCCCCATGGACGACGATGCGCGGGGAGACGATCAGGCTATCTTCGCGGCAGGATTCACGAACCAAGCAGCCGTTAAACCGCCGCGACGCATGTTGGCGGCATGAGGTACACAGCATGCGCGCCACTGTCCACGGTGTTCTGAGCAGACCTAACGGGCCATACTAAACGCCATTACGACGATCGACAGCCCCACAGGCACAAGCAACATGGCAGCACCATCGCGAGGTAATGCATTTCACGCAGCAGGGCAGAAGCAGCTCCAACGGCGACTAGCTCGGCAAGTGCATCAGCAACAGGAGTACCTAGTTTTGCAAGCTCGACAAGTTCGCCGAGTGCAGCAAGCGCGGCGCGCCACAGCTGTGCGAGGCTTGCAGACAATGTTCACAGGTGCAATGCTACTGTCCAGTCAGATGGGCACCACTATCCAGCAGTTTGCGGCGGCAGCAGCACAGCCGCAGAGAGCGAGAAGGGCAAAGCAGCGGCGCGGCAGATTGCAGCATCAGGAGCAGCCGAGCAAGGAGATGAGGGCACTGCGTGCTAGGGCGGGAGTTGACGAACTGCGCGCGGGGGACCACGGTCATGTTCTGCGCGCTGATCTTTGTCTTATAGAGGCGAAGGCCCAAGAGGCCACTCGGGAGTGAACGCGGCATGAAATGAGCGTGGGACCGGACCGCTTGGCGCAACATCTATCCCGTCTGCAAACCTGACATCGTGGAAGAAGCACGCGGCGCATGCGCGGTTGCGGTGGCGGCCCAGGAGGCGAGGCGCGCAGGCGCGGCCGCGGAAACCAAAACAACTCACCGACTTGCCGACTGCGAGGGCTGCGCCGCGGTCCCCCGCGCGCCAGCGCCAATGTCGAGAAGACGAAGCTCGCTCGTCGACGATGGGGGGCAGCTGCGAGAAGGGGGGATAACTCACTGGCATTCCGCGCTCACTGGATAGGCGCCGAGCCGCCGTGGCTCCGCCGCGTCGCCGAGGCGCCGATGCTGGGGCTTGCCTTCCTTGTCGACATCCAGAACGACCTGAAGTGGGTCAGAACGACGCCTCCGCAGTTGTCGCCCTCCAGAATGTCCTGGCCACTACGCCCGCCCCCATGTGTGAGTGGACCCCCCCCCCGGGGACTGGTAGGGTGGCCAAATCTGCCCTCCCATTCAGGGGGGGTGGGCCCGCCGTGGGGGCATGGGTTCGGTGGCCCACAGCTTCTGGGGTTTGTCGGGGCCTCCGCTGCGCCGCTCCCCATCGCCCCGCATTGCTGGGACGCGACCCGCATGTTCTCCGAGCCCGGCACGCCCGGGCCGAAGGCGGCCGCTGGCGGCGCGAAGGTGAATCGCAGGGCGGGCCTCGCCGCAGGCAGTGCACACCGGGCCCGAGATCCTCGCGAGAAGGGCGAAGTTCGGCCGGATGGCGATGGGGGGATCAGGACATGGGGGGATGAGTATCCGGTACCGTTTTGTTGGGGTGCAATTTGTACCTTCTCTGCGGGTTGCAAGTGCAAATTGTACCTTCTCCCCCCCGTTAACATCTTCGCACATGTCGCGGACGTTGTCAAAAGTACGATTTGTACCTTGTCTGCGTGGCGTCGGTACAAATAGTACCACCTCCGTGGGGCGTAGGTACAATTTGTACCTCGGTTGCGCTTCTCTCCCCATCTGGACTTATCCCCCAATTTGCAAACAGGCAAGAAGTGCCCCCCCCCGCGTCGCGCAGCTCCCGCGCAGAAGATCACATGCCCGAAGCCTCCGATTTCCTTCCTTCTTCTTGAAGACTGCCAAGCCTCAACCCGCCCTGCAACCCAGAATTAGCGACTCCCCCGTGTCCAGCGCCAAATAAGATGCGTCGCGCTCGCGTTCGCGGTGCCACGCATTTCACAATTCCGAACGCGCGTCCCCGAACTGGCCAGTCCCCATTCTTTCCCAAAAATGTTATGCGGAGGTCGCGTGGTCATAATGCATAGCAAATAACGTGCGTAGCGGATTGTGGCTGGGCCCGGACGGTCGACATTCGTTTCCAGCATTGTGATTTTCGTGTTCTGTTTAAATGAAGCCAGCTTCGGTGTCGGATCCCTGTCAAGTAGTACCATAATGGCGACACGTGCGTCAGTATTTCAGAAATCTAGCTCTTGCTGCAGCGCTACGTTGCACGTTTCACAGGTATGATGGTGTCGCCTTGGTGCGATGTGCAACACAAGCAAAACAAGTATTCCAGACGGCGTCGTCGGGATGTATACGAACATGGTGTGTGTTTCCAGTATCCACTGTTCGGCGGCTCATGGGGAACATTAATTTCTGAGTTTCCTCGAGGCGGCTGACCCTCATCAAACGATCAAGTGATGCCACGCGGGCCAGAGTGGCAATCCGTCGCTCGATTTTCTCTAAACCTCTCTCTCTCTCTTTCTCTTTCTCTTTTTTTGTTTGTTTCTGTCTCTCTCTCTCTCTCTCTTTCAGACCGTTGTATTTATGTATGCGTCTCTCTCTCTCTCTATATATATATATATATATATATATCTTTGTCTCTGCTTCCCTCGCTCTCTACCCGTGCCTCTTTCTTTCTCTCATTATGTCCCTCTGTCTCTCTGTCTCTCTGTCTCGGGAACAACAGGCGATGGTTTCCACACGCATCCACATGCACGACCACCTCCTGGCGTCCACTTTCAAGAAGTTCGACGCCGACAACTCTGGGTATATCTCGCTGGACCGCCCCGTGCGTTGGCCAGCATGACCTCGGCTGGCAGCGGAGGGAGGACCGATGTTCGAGGATCGAGGCGTTTTGTCGTCTTTGGCCCTGTTTGTGCCTCCGGAGGCCTTCTCTTCAGGACTAGGGGTGCGGAGGAAAGACGACGTATGTGGAGGGTAGAGGGAAAAGGGGCTCGACGAGGATGCGGAGGACTGCGAAGGCGAACGCAGGGCGGGTAGAGAAGGACAGGGAGGTCGTCCTCCTCCCCATCCGCCAGGTGTCCACCGGGAGGTCGAAGAGCACCCCAGAAGGCCGCCAGTCGTGGAAGCTGCAGGGGCAGATTTGCACGATTCCAGCAAATGCGCTCGAAAGGGACATCACAGTGTATGTTGTGAGTGGCACTTCCAAGAACTAAGCGGATGGGCGGAGGGCGGGTGGTGTTCCTACTGCTGTTGTCGCTCAAGCCTCCGCCTCTTCGTCTTTCGGCTTCCAACAGCTATACGGGTGGAGGTGAGGTGAGTTCAGAATGGCTTCAACGCTGTAGTGCCGCACACATCGCCTGCACAATTTTTCAACAGCTGCACGCATGGAGTTCAGGTGTTTGCTGATCTCCAAGATGTGGCAATCGCAGTAGCACCACACACACGCACATTCGATTCAGAATGTTCCAGTTGATGCACGGATGTAGGGCGGTTCTTTTGTCAAATATGGTGTTCGCATTCGCGACGAGCACCTTTGTGGTGACAGTTTGCTACAGGATGGGCTACACTAACAGGGGGTGGCCCCTCTCACACTAGGGTTTGCCGCTCAAGACGTCCTCTGGCTATATGGCCAGACATCTACAGTTGACAAAACAGATAGAGGGGGGATCTGAAGTGGGGAGGCGTGGAGGCTGGCTCCACTTCAAAACAGGGCCCTCGCCTGAAAGGCAGGCCTATGTGGCGCTCGTCTTTCACAGGGCTCCCCTCCGCAGAGGAAAGGAAGGTCTTCACGGGCGGGGCCGTTTGAGGAGGAGGCTTTGTGAGGCGGGCGGACCGCCCAGAGAGGCGCAGCGGTCTGATCTGCGCCCACCCCCCGCCTTGGCCGCGGTGCCGGCCGAGAGCTCCGGCGCCCGGAGGAGAACCTCAAGTACGTCCTCGGCGATTCTTTCGACGGCGCGGAGGCGGCCGGGGGCCGCCGCTCGCTGGCCTTGCGGCGGTCGGTCGTCTCGAGGGGCGACAGACGGGATGGGGTCGACGGCTGTGTGACGCGGGTTCCCGCCGTGTGGACGCGGCTGCGTTCACGGTCCAGAATCGGCTATCGGGAGGGCGCGATCGTTCAAGGTTGAGCGAGAGCGTTCCGCTTCGGTGTCAGAAGACACCGCCGAAGTCGACACGACAGGAGCCGGACGTACCATTTTACGCCATTGCGAGCTGCGCCCACGGGCGCACCCAACCCAGTTGCAAGAGGTGGCGGTACCAGCGGGCCTGGCCAGGACGAATGATTACAGGGAAGGGCATGCTCTCCCTTGCCAGGTGTCTCACAGGATGCATGGCGTCGCACGCCCCGTGGGACCCACTTGAAGCAACTCCAGGGGACAGAGGGAATGAGGGCGATGTCCAGCTTTGATCTGCTGCATGACACCCCACGGGAGCAGCAGCGTGACGACGGTTGCACGCCTGGCAGCACCCAGGGAGAGCGAGGTCTGGTGTGGATCGGCGTGTCCCCCGTTCCGCCGGACCACCCAGGAACAATCACGCCTTGTAGCACCCATGGAGAGCGAGGAGGACACTCAGATTTGCGTGTGTCCCCCCCCTCCCTTCGCTGGACCTCGGCAGGAGCGCAGCAAATTGGCGACAGCTCCACGGCTGGCAACACCAAGGGAGAACGAGGGAGCTACTTTGGCTTGCGTATCCCCCCACTCCGCTGGATCTCGGCTTGACGTGAGGTCGACAGGCTGGTGCAAGAGGCGGACAAGAACAACGACGGCCAGGCGGGGTCGGGCTGGGACGGAGCATCGATCGGACTATGTGTCTCGGCGAGGGAGACTCTGAGTGAGCCATAGCGTCATCCCCGCTTTTCTACCGCGTGCGAAACCAGCAGTCGGTGGTTTAGGGAGTTCTCTCTTCCACCCCCCTCTTCCCCTTCGGAGAGGGGTTCCCACCTTTACCTGCCCCCCATGCTGCCCCGTGGAGTCGGGACCAAGGTTTCGGGAGGAGGTGAGGGTCCAACATGGTCCAAGATGGATCCCAAGTGGCCACAGATAGCATAGCTCAAGATGCCCTCCGATAAGGTACAATAGAGCCCAAGATGGCTCAATGCAATCATCCTACAAAATGCCTCAAAGAGGCTCCAAGAGGGCCCCAGGACGGCTGCAAATGGGCATGGAGTCATGGAGCCTCCCAACGAGATTCCTGAGAGGCGAGACTCTTTCAAATACTTGTAATCTTATTGATGTGTTTTCTCAGTGGCCTTGTGTAGCATACCGTCATGTGCCAACTTCCAGTGCAGCACTCCGTACTTGTGATGGCTCAAAGATCTGATATGTGGGCGTACCTTCCGGCCTTGCTCGCGGCCGCCAGGAGATTTCACCACTCTGGGCTTGCACTGGCAGACTGCTGCCGCGGTTGCACAGTGCCCGAGCTTGCCCGCGATCCCGGCCTGTCCTGAGCTGGTCTGCGCGACTGGGCCGACGTGCCCAGCGGCGCATTGCGAGTGCGCGTGCCCGGTCCAGGAGCCGGGCTACTGGCTGCTACTGGCGGGGGCTGGGGTGGCGTCGACCGCGGGGCTAGGCGGCGTGTGCCTGGGGGCGGGCGTGGGCTACGCGCTCGGCCGCATCGCAGGCCCCCGGGCTGCGAGCCGTTCCGCCGCTGGCGCCGCCGCGCCAGCCGTGGGCGACGCTGTCTCGACCGAGGCGAGGGCGCTGGTGATCACGCCGTCCTCGCGACGAGATGGCGGCCCGGCCGCGGGCGCTTGATATCAGGGAGCCGCAGATAGTCGTCCACTTTGATGCGGATCCATTGCCTTGGCATCACAGAGTTCTGCTTCATCATCTGGGTGATGGCGCTTGGCTGTGCCTGACGCCAGACATGGAGATCACGCGCCACGATCTGAATTCTCTTCGTCATTATGTCTTGGATCGTGGTGCCCTCTTCCCCGCGTGGGCGTTGGCTGGACTGCACTCGTTCGACCCTGTGGATCCAGGGGGATGGCCGAGATGAAGCGCCAGGCGAGACAGCGAGCAGCGCTGCTCGGATGGCGACGCGCTGGAGGAGGAGGCGCAAGCGTGGGTGATCAATGATCCGCGTGATGCTCGGTCCGGCGAAGTGCTGGATGAGCAGGTGGTGGAGAATCCAGCCAGGTGTGTGCACTTGCGTCGGATGGGTGTGATCTCTGGGCGGCACAGAGCGGACGATCGTGAAGATCGGCCGCGACGAGCGGGACGATTGGATGAGGGACCAGCGTGAGGGTGTTGTGGAAATCCGACTGCTCGGGGACCACCGCTCGAAGTTGGGCCGTCGCGACGTTGACTTTGGTGACGCCGTCGAGATGATGGAGCAGGTTGAGCTGGCGGACAGTCCAGACATCGGTCCTCTTGCGATGGGTGAGTACTTGACGAGTGTAGCCGCCGGCACAGGAAACTTGACGGCCTACCAGGCTGAGTGGGAGAGGCCGAGCGGCGTCTTCGCAGGAGGAGCTCAGAACCATGAGCATCGTGTCTTGTTGGAGATCATTCGCCGCGCGATCTGCCTCGACCAGCTGAATGTCAAGAACCTCCACTGCATGGGGGCGGCGGTGCGGCGGGTCATGCAGATTGAGATGGCGCTGGCCAGGAATCCTCGGCACCCCGACTTCTCGGGGCTCGAGGACCCAGAGGTCTAAAAGGACTATTTTCCAGTCCCGTCATCATGTTCCTAAAAAATAGTACCCGTTCCTATATTATAGTCCCGAACCATGCGCCATCAAATATGCATCAGAAAACCATAGCCGTAATCGTTTCAGGTAACTTCACCCATCAAATACTTAACGTGCATCAGAAATAATTAACACATCCACATCATACAATACGTTTCATCGGGGCGAGCGCTTGTATGAAAAAAAAAAAAACATAGCAATAGTGACCCAATAGTTTAAACCAAGGAGGAGAACGAGAGGGAGGAAGAGTCGCCCGACCAGAGTAAACGTAGCACCAACGACAATACATGCCTACATCTATATTTACACACATACATATTTATACCATACATATAGGTATACATATATATATAGAGAGAGATATACAGTCCCGTCCCGTGCCCGTTTGAAGTGCCTGGCCACTCGGGCGAGAACACCATTTTGGAAAGGAACTGGCCATGCTCGACCTCGGGTTGCGGCCGCCGCGTTTCTGCCTCTCCTCCAGCTCTTTTGCTGCAGCCTCGCGGCCCGAGCTGTTTCGAGGATGGCTTCAGAGGCCAAGCGCCCCAAGCAGGGCGCCGTCCGCCAGGCTAGCTCGGCGGACGCAGATGAGCTGGCAGAGATGTGGGCGAAGTTTATCACCAAGCCAGACGGGCGCCAGCAGGGGGGAGAACTGCAGGAGGAGGACGAGGAGGAGGAGGAGGAGAGGAGGAGGAGGAGAGGGAGAAGGAGGAGGGGGAGGAGGAGGAGGAGGAGGAGGAGGAGGAGGAGGAGGAGGAGGAGTGGGAGAAGGAGGAGGAAATAATCGTAGTGCTGAGGAGGATGAGGAGCAGGACGAGAAGGAGGAGGATTCCACAGGAGCAGGGCATTCATGAGAACGAGGGTTTGGACTGGGTATGGGGGGCGATAAGGACATTTGGGATTGATGGGGCCCGTTGTGATGTAAACGGATCCGTCGATCTGGGGATCTATGTCCCTCCTCCTCCTCCTCCTCCTCCTCCTCCTCCTCCCCTCGTTCTCACATATGCTATCCCGTTCCCGTGGAATCCTCCTCCTCCTCCTCCTCCTCCTCCGCACCGCGACTCTATCCTCCCCCTCCTCCTCCTCCTCCTCCTCCTCCTCCCCCTCCTCTTTCTCCTCCTCCTCCTCCTCCTCCTCCTCCTCTTTCTCCTCCTCCTCCTTCTCCTCCTCCTCCTCCTCCTCCTCCTCCTCCCCCTCCTCTTCCTTGTCATCCTCCTCCCCCACCCTTTTTAGCATGTATTCATTATTCGTATGCTTTTATCCGTGCGCCCCCGTGGCCCAGGCTCGAGTACACTCAGGAGCTCGACGGCCAGCAGAATCCGACTACGATCATAGAGAATGAGGCCCTCCTGAAGGGCACGCGGCAGATCTGTCCTTCTGGCGGCGTGCCCCAGAAGGTGGCGGAGGCGTCGGTCACCAGAAATGTGAGAGGAGGATGGGAGGAGGAGGACGAAGAAGAAGAATACGATAATGAAGAGAAGGGAGGAGGAAGGAAGAGGAAGAAGGAGGGGTACCGGATGATGAGGAGGAGGGGGGGATGAGGATGAGGGGGAACGGAGCAGGGAGGCGTAGGAGCTGGAGGAGCAGGGGGGGAGAGGATGAGGAAAGGGGGAAGGGTAGGGAGTAAAACAATGCGGAATCGAAGAAGATGGAAAGAATACGGAGGAGGTGGCGTGAAGGGGTTGTCGGGCTCACCGAAACCGCACCTCGCCGCAAGCGGCGAGATGCGGTGAGCCTCGGTGGGCCTCACATCGAGACCTCGAAACCAATATGATAGCATCGCTCCCAGGCGGCGCTCATCAAAATAGCAGAGGCTAACTCCGAGACGTGGAAGCTCCAGAAGGAGTCTAAATTGTGGTCTGCAACGACAGCCAGAATGATACGGGCAATGCTACGACATGTTGCCAAAGCAATATCGAGAACTACGGTGCCGCACTGGGCCAAGGTCTTCGTCGATTCAGACCTTGCCAAGACCAGCGACGATGTCGACGCTGGCACGGGGGCTGACGGCGGCAAGACGAAGCAGATGAAGAAGGATATAGGGCAACAGTGGGGATAAGAATGCCAGGAAGAGCAGGCAGGAGGAGGGCAAGGACGCGGGTACCAGCGGCAGTGCCAGAATATGAGGATGATGAGGATGTGCGAGAGGATAAGGATATACAAGGAAGAGGATGATGAGGAGACGGAGGACTAGGACGACTAGGATGACTAGGAGGACTGGGATGAGGATGAAGAGGATAGGAGGATCGATGAGGAGGAGGAGGAGGACCTTGGCCTCACGGCAGACCAGCCAGGACCTTGGCCTCACGGCTCTGGCAGAGGAACGGGGCTATCGCCTCGGCTATGAGAAGGAGCTCCAGGACCGACGGTCGACAAACAAACAGCAGACACTAACGCTGACGGGTGTCATCAGGAACTACGCGCATACAGCACGATGGTCATCGTATAACTACGCGCAGACAACACGATCCGTCAATCACAATGTATCCTAAGTTTGCCGCTGCCCATCGTGCTGTCTGCGCGTAGTTTTTGATGACGCCCCTCAGCTGAACCTCTCCAGGTTCACCTGAGCAGGAGGAGGAGGAGGAGAAGGAGGAGGAGGAATGAGGGAGAGCTTGGGTGGAGAGAAGGCGGGAGGAGCATACAGAGATCATGGAGGGAGAAGTGGAGGGAGGACTTGCGGGTGGGTCCCTCGCAGTCGGCGTGGCGCATCCCTCTGGGCACCGACCAGCGCCCCGAGTATGCGGTCGCCAAGGCCGAGGATGGGGAATCCTTGCTCGTGGCAGTCTGGCAGGACGATTTCAAATGGAAGGTGAGCGGGCCCAGAAACCCAGACAACACTCATCTATCCCCTCAATCCTCTTTCCCTTGACTGCCACCATAATGTGATTATCCTCCCTCACCTGCACCTTGCCTCCCCTTGACCTCCCGTGCTTCACTCGCAGCCCTGCTCCATATCACCCTCCTCCTGCTGCTTTACCTCCAGCCTCCTCCTCCACCCTCCTCCTCCTCATCTTCCTCCGCCTCCTCATCCTTCTCATCCTTCTCCCCGCCCTCCCCCTCGATCAACGCATCTCA